GCAGTACCGAAAGTCACGGTTTCTAGTTCGAATTCCTTAATTACATCTTGAGGGCTGTCCCGCCAAAGGATCCTTTGATACACAGCATCTTCTGGCGCTATTCTTATCTGCCGGTACATCTTAATCATGTCGGCTACTGGCGCAATAGGGTGGACTCGGCATCTCATAATCGTATGCCTTAAATCGGCTTGCAATGTCGGTTCGATCATAAGGGTATCATTAAGAGACACGCCGTTACTATTTTTCTCCGACGCGTTAAAAACAACACGGACCTTTGTGGTAGATTTATCTTCCCTTATTACGGCATGATGAGGTAAATACACTGCCGTGTCCTTCTTACAGTCATTTTCTGGTACTAGTCTCATGTGTCCTAAACTTAAATACTCTTTTATTACTTCTGTGTATTTGCTTTTTAAATCTGGATTTCTTTCTAATCTCCTTTCTAATGATTTCAATCCTTTTTCAGCTATGGCACGAGAGTTACCTGACCTACAAGGAGGAGGTATATCTCGAAACGGCAATTTGACAACATACCTCCCATCTTCTCTTCTTTTCGTGGTCAGCTTATAAAATTCTTCACATTTGATTTCTTCGGGCGTTAACATATTTTTTTGTACATAAATTTTCTTCAATTTCCCAAAATTTCTTTAAGTTCTCTTCTTCATTTATGTGTGCGTGCATTACATTGATATTTAGTCTATAAGTGTCCGGTTTATTCCTCGTATCATTATCTGGACTGACTGCCCCTGACAAAACCCATCCTAATGGAGTATTCTGGGCAATAAGAGTTCCAGAAGGATTTTTTACTATTCCTTCCTTAAGAATATACCTATACGCGTCTGCACCTAACAATAAATCTATTTTATTAGGCAGATTGAACTTTGGATCTGCTAAATGTAATTGTTTATTATAAATCCAAATAAACCGTTCTACACTTATGCTGCGTTCTTGTAAGTATGAAGTTATTTTTGGTAAAACTTAGGCCTTAATAAATAACTTAAAATCAGGATCAGCTCGTGATGTTATGTTTAACTGCATCATGTGCTTAGCAAGAGCGGATTTATTCTCACCTAAGCATGATACTAGTCCACGTACAGGTATCTTTTTTAAACAGAGGAGTTGCACCGTAGATTCTGTTATGAAGCATGCCTGGGAACCTTGATCAAGAAGGGCTCGAATTATTTGATATTCTCCATTCCTAGACTCTGTTTTTACTAGCGCTGTGGCTAATAAAACCTGTCCCGGTTCAGGAATATGGCCGGTCGATAAGCACGACACTATCTGACCATCACTGTATGAGGTACCAGTGGGATCGACAGTTGAGGTAGTTACAGTATTTTTCCAGGCTCTTCACTAGGGTGCAGCAAGGAGTGATGACGCTTATGACACATTCTACAAGTTGTATGCTTTTTACAGTTATACACAGTATGATTACTACCAAGACAATTGAAGCATATCTTATTTTTTGCTACAAAATCACGTCTGTACTGAGTGGCTTGTTGTGCAAACTTTTTACAAAAGCATAATTTATGAGACTCCGAACAATACTCGCAACGAACTGTGTAAGATGTACTCGTATTTGTTGTCAACAATGATTTTGTACGTGAGGTTTGGTAAGCTTTAGTACTTTGATACTGAATCCCTTTAGATGGTATGCACTCTAAGGCGCGGAACCGATGTTCAATAAAGGTCTTAAATTGCTCCAAAGTAGGCAAAACGTTACTGGAGTCGTTGTTATTATTTAACTCCCACTGCTTCCTAGTCTCCGAATCTAACTTAAAAGTTACAATGTGGATGACAATAATATCCCAGGTAGACACGTCGATATCCAAATTAGTTAGAGCATTCAAACAATCGGTAGTTGTATCTAACATACCCTTTAAAGCCGTTGCTGATTCCCCTTGCATATGTTTTTGAGCAAATAAACGATTCAAAATACAAGTGGCCAAGTATTTTTTATTGTTATAACGCCTGACCAATAGATCCCAACATTGTTTATAATTGGCATCCGTAATAGGCGTATGTCTAGTTACTAAGTGAGTTTTCAGATAATGCAATTTTTGCACGTTATCTAGACTGGTATTGTTATGAACGAATAGGTCATGAAAGGTTGTCCATTCATTGTACTTACCCGAAAACATAGTTATTGAAATTTTCGGTAATTTAAAAAAGGCACTACTAGAACCGATTACTTGTTTCACAGGTTCACGGCTAACTTGAAGTTTAGTTAGCGTGGTTTTCAAGAGACATTTATATGTTATGTACGTGTCCTCAGTAGAATCATATACAACTAAAATCTTTTTTTCAAAATCTTCCAATTTAAATCGCTCATTTAATCTAATATTGCTATCCTTAAAAGCAGCCCAATCACTTTCTAAAAGCTCCAATTAGGTGTCTATATATTCCAACGTTAACCGATCCTTTGAACATTTTTTAAAATTATTTAAGCAATTGTTAATTACCTTTTGTAAATCTTTTAAAACGTTTATTAATCCTTTCATATTATTTTATTTAAGCAAATGTAAATAAACCTTAAAACACAGTAAATGTAAGCAAAATTACTGTAAATAAATAAGATTAAAAAGCCTTTCAAAATTAGTTATTTGTATAAGCAAACTTACACATCACTAGATCCAAAACAATTGACACTTCCACGAATTAAAATGGGATTCTAACTACACATTAAATATCTACCTAATCAAAATTTGTAAAAAAAATCTAAGTGTTTGAGAAACAACAACAAAAAATCAAAATCGGGCATGGACTCCTCGGTTGTTAAGGGTCCAGGGGACGTAAATAAAATGGCAGTGGACTGTATAACTGGTATTTTAATCGCCAGGTCTTTACACGATATGTAGTGTGAGGTTGAAGTCGGACCGTCCACGGTGATGTCCCAAGGCGAGCAACGGTTGTTTTATATCCTCTGCTCCTCCCGGCTCGGTCCCCCACTCGTCGCACACGTCCGGGTAGTCCCCCCGCACGCCGCGCTGTTGCCCATTGTAGTGCGTTTAGTTAAATCGCAGTCGCAACATGCTCCCCCGGTTGAAGGCTGGAGGCTTCAAAATCCGGCTCGAAGGACCATGTTAAGGGTCCAGGGGACGTAAATAAAATGGCAGTGGACTGTATAACTGGTATTTTAATCGCCAGGTCTTTACACGATATGTAGTGTGAGGTTGAAGTCGGACCGTCCACGGTGATGTCCCAAGGCGAGCAACGGCTGTTTTATATCCTCTGCTCCTCCCGGCTCGGTCCCCCACTCGTCGCACACGTCCGGGTAGTCCCCCCGCACGCCGCGCTGTTGCCCATTGTAGTGCGTTTAGTTAAATCGCAGTCGCAACATGCTCCCCCGGTTGAAGGCTGGAGGCTTCAAAATCCGGCTCGAAGGACCATGTTAAGGGTCCAGGGGACGTAAATAAAATGGCAGTGGACTGTATAACTGGTATTTTAATCGCCAGGTCTTTACACGATATGTAGTGTGAGGTTGAAGTCGGACCGTCCACGGTGATGTCCCAAGGCGAGCAACGGCTGTTTTATATCCTCTGCTCCTCCCGGCTCGGTCCCCCACTCGTCGCACACGTCCGGGTAGTCCCCGCGCACGCCGCGCTGTTGCCCATTGTAGTGCGTTTAGTTAAATCGCAGTCGCAACATCGGGTTTTCTCGGTTTTTTCTCAAACTATTCTAAGTTCTAAACTAACATGCACAATTATTGTCCTAGTATAAACTAAGGAAACAAAATTTTTAATAACACTAAAGACATGCAATATTTTAAACTACAAAGTAAACTATCACTTAATTATACTAAATCCAATATTCTTCGCTAAGATGTTAAGTTAAAATCTTCTTGTATTTAATGTTCTGCATTGCTTGACACTATTTTAATATGTTTGTCTTAAATCATTGATTTATTGTACTCACAGATTCACCGCTTTCACCTTCACATCCGTTGTCAGTTGTCTCCACAATCCACATCCAACCAGTAGCGCCATCTATGTCGTGGCGTGGAACCAAAGTACTACTAGGGGTTTTTGCCTTATACTTATTTCTGCAGCGATCCACTGCGTACATAGGCTCCGATGCAAAAAAAGGACTGATTCGGAAGTCCAATCCGGGTCGTAAAGGACCAAAATGTTAAATACCGAATATGGTATTTTGAGCTTGTTGTAAATACTAGGTGTTTAGAAATAAAACAACTGTATTTTGATCTAGGTTGTCCTGCTGGTCGATTTTATTAAAAACTAGTTAGGGTTATATGGTACACTCGGTAACAGAACCATACCGCGAGTCAGCGGAACGGTACAACGTTACCTTCCTATTGAATCACTCTCTCTATTGGTGAAAACCGTATTAAAATCCGTTGCTTGGTTTAGAAGATCTAAGCGTACAACATAAAAAAGCGACTTTATTTTATACTATAAATATTGTCCCTATAAATATTGCATTGAAAGATGGCCTGTAGTATAGTCCTATCATAATAATAGTAAAATTAATTACTCCTCACTGACACCACATTAGTAGTATTAGTAGTATCTACATTGTCCCCGTGCGAAGGCGGGGCGGATCGCTAGTGTAAAGATAAAGAAGATATTAAGTTAGTTTTAACCACCAACAATTTTCACTTACACAGGTAGTAATTTTTTTCTTAAATTGAATTTGACCGAACGTGAACGGGAAGTTCAACCCTTTAAATAAAAATAAAACAATAGTTGTGAGCCAACAACCATGAATATGTAAAAAATAATATTTGGTTCCGGTTTAGATTATAGTAAATTGTAATGTTGTATAATTTAGTTAAGAAACTTGTAATTTAACGACTTATTCATAATGCATGACTAGGCCCTTTGACAAAAAAATGTACCAAGAGCAAATGTAGCTACTCGGCCTGGGTAGAATTTTTTCAGCATTTTCTTCATCTGTTTCATTAGTATTTGCAGTAAGATTATTAAACTCATCAATGTATATCGCTGTTTCAATTATTCTACTTCAAGGCCTTGTGTTGCTATCTAATTATTCAAGGTTATTTCTGTGTGTGGTATGTAAGTTGTTGAGATGTATTCTGTTTCAGTACATGACTGTTCTTCCACACTCTGTCCTTTATGTACCTTCGGTATGTGATTTGTAGCTTTCAATGTACCCATGTATGTGGAATACGGAGGTGGTAGGTCCTCGGAGGAGTTATCATCTATTTTATTGCCACCTCCAATATTGTTGACGGCGTACTGCGAGTGCAAAGGTGGTAGACCGGAATGGGAATTATTCTGGGTAGAAAATTCTGGCTCGATTATGATTGGTGATGTAGGTGTAGGGACAGGTGGAGGGCTAGGGGGAGGGCTAGGGGGAGGGCCAGTTTCGTTGGTTTGTTGCGCTGAAATCAGAGAAAATATTAAGGCAGGCAATTTAATGGGATGTTATACATATTAGGTTCGTGATCTCAAATATATAAGAGAACTTGTAGACGAAAATACTTCATTTTATATTTTTAGTATTAATGTGTGAATTCCAACGATTACTCGTTGGAATTCACACATTGCTATCGATATAAAATGATTTGCTGCAATTGTTTAGAAACAAGTTATGTTCGTATAATTAACATATTGTATATTATTGCATAATTTTCGTTAAATACTTACGATCTGTATCAAAAACACTCGGTCTTCGTTGCTCATCTGAAGACTGCCTTCTGCAGCAGTTCTTTAAGCTTTTTAGACGAGGATCTGAAATATAAAAATTAATAATCTAGTTAGAGGTGTGCAAACATTCTCTTACTCCTCTGTCGGCCGAACAAACAGGATTTTCTCCGGTCTAGCCGGTGCGGTTCCATTTTTTATTTTTGACATATAAATATATATGTATATACATATTTAGTGGAGTAAAAGAGAACCATCTCTGTTTATGAAATAGCGTCCGTCAAAAGTCGTCAAATCATTTTGCCGCCACGGTACCAAGTTGTTCTAGTATCACAGTAAATTAAACAAGATAAAAAGAAAACGCTTTGTTATGGCACACTTATCAAAACAATTATATAGGCAAACCTCGACATTGAATGTATTAATAATTAATTTAAAAAATATATTAGAGTATTTTAAATAAGCTAACTTGCTATACTAGCGCCATTCTGGTCGGTTCCAGGACTGTTATTGGCTGCTTTTTGCTGGTCATTTTTTTGGGTTACATACAAGATAGTGCTCCTTTAATCTACTCTCCATAACAAGTTACCAGTCGGTTTCACGCATTGCCCGGTGTTTAGAAGGGAAGGTGGGGGAAGCTAAGGTATCTCCCGGGATAGGACCTAGGTCTTAGGCCTCCCAAAGTTGAGTGCCTGAGGCCGTACGGCTTAGAGCCGTTAATAAAAAAAAAGGTAATTGATAGTAGCCCAGGGCCCTAAAAATTCACGATCCGCCCCTACTCATAGCTTTTGATATCTGAAAAGTCTCGTTTTCCGTCAATCTAGCGTCGCGGTCTTTAAAGGTACTCGTTGTAATAATGACCTCGCAGTCGCACTTAAGATCAGGCTTCTTGAGAGGCACTTAACAAAGACACTTCGAGCGTAATTGTGTTCAAATTATTTAGTCATCTGTGGTAAAGTCTTTGGGCATCGCCTTTAAAGTCGCCTCGCTCCCAAGTGCGAGGCCTAGGGCGACGGCTCACTTGACCAACGGGTAGCTACGCCACTGACTGGTGGATACCACCCTCACTAGAAATAGCCAAGAGAATTAGGTGGGCAGGAAACTTAAATTATTTTCTACTTACAACAGAAAAATATTTTAAGTACAATTAGAACCCAGAAAAGAACCGTCGGTCTTGACGGAGAGTTCTCCCATGTGGGTGTTTTTGTTGTCAAATCTATCTTGGTCGATAATGGAATCTGGAAAAGGAAATAGTCTCTTAAGTAAGTAAGTACTAAGAATCGTCGTTAAAGGTCATAAACACAATTATTAAGAATTATAAAGATTTCACTAATTACAATAATTAAAGACATATATATATCAACACAAAAAAAACACAAATTAATACAAAGACAAAATCTAAATAAAATAAAAATCATTCCGCCTATTTCGGCCATCCATCCGCAAACAAATCACAGCCGGGATTGGCGCGCAGGAGAGCGTTGAGTGCAGAAGAGTGGGCGGTGGTGAGTGGTGTGGGGGACTTAGCGCGCGCCAATTTATATGTTGTTAGATTTAGTTTTTTGCACCGATGTGTTTGAGTCTATTGAAAATAATAAAATTGCGGATTTTGTAGACCTAAGACAATGTATGTGTATCTTATAAATTCTTTATAAAATATAAGTAACTATCGCTCTCGGATGTGCTTTCTTAAATATATATATAATCAAAAGTAGTTACGCCGTAGGGAAAAGTATTTTTGTTTCTGTATCGAGGTGCCTTACGTCCGTTTCTGAACCCTTCGAAATATTTGCAAAATTTACCTTTCAACCCGAAAACACTTCATAACCTGAAATCTTAACTAGCTTGACCCACGGAAGCTAGACATTACGCTTTTAAAGAGTATAAAATGTTACAAGTTACTGACTTGGGACGGAGAGGAGTAATATTTGGTCAGGGTGCTAGAAAGCCACGGGAAGTCCCTCTTAAGCAAGTTTGTGTCATTAAACAAGTCTTGAAATCTGAAAAAAGAAATAAAATAAACTTTTAATATAATATATCTCACACATCTCACACACGGCCGTCTGATCCCAAACTAGGCAGAGCCTGTACTATGGTAACCAGACTGCTGATAAACATACTTGTATATTTTAAATACATACATATTATAGATAAATTACACCCAGACACAGAACAAATGACCGTGTTCATCACACAAATATTTGTTATGGGTGGGAATCGAACCACCGGTTTAGCAGTAGCAGTTAAATAAAAATTATTCATTCCCTATCAGTCAGTGGCTTAGAGAGGTGATCAAAACCCATGGGCGTTCCCCGGTTTTCTGTGAGGCACTATTTGAAGATGATGAAGAAAGTAATACCTTTTATGTATAACTGCCCTGTCGCGATCGCTGTACGAGTCGGTGCGTTCGTATTAAGGTGTACTACTTTCTTCCTACCCGACTCCTGTGTCACAGACATCGGAGTCTCTCTATTATTATTCACACAAAACTATTTCCATATATGTATTGTTTTTAAATCAGACCATCCATAATAATATTAAACATGGCACACATACATATTTAATGAGTCCTTTACAATATACTCGTATAAGCTTACAGTAAAAATAATATATTATTATGTAATTAAAATGTTTACAACATTTACACTATTTACAAACAAGCATCAAAAAATTCCTCTGCATCATTTTGGTAATTGGCAAACCTATTTCATAACTTAACTGAACTTTTTCAACATTCACAAACAATAAAAAGGAAAGTTTTAGTAAAGTTTAGGTAGGTACCTGGGCCTTTTGCCCAAACGACCGTAGTGCTATCAATACACAATATACTTTCCCCATGTACACCTTTTTTTTTTTTCGTGCGGAAATCCCCTCGGATACCACCTATCGGTGGCATGTCGGACTCGAACCGACTAAAACCGCACGCCGTCTCGGGTACTAATAGCCGGGGAACCAGGTATATCCTAGAAAGGAATTCCCTGGTGCCCCTACATACCTCGAGCCATCTACAGACGAGTAGACGACCCCCCCCGAGTGGGAACTCCATGTTCCCTCTGCTCCCTGGAAACGAGCGCCGGCCTGCTTCTGCTAGGGTGACAGATGGCCTCACCTGTCACCCCCAGGCCTGCGCTTATGGAGGACGGAGGTCATTCTGCGACCTCCGGCGCCTGAGTTGCCTGCGGTACCTGGCCCGTTCCCGGCGGGCCGGGAGAGTTCTAAATCTCTCCCGGTCCCGCTCCGCCGTCTCCTTTGCGAGCATAAGTTGCTCGCAGAAGGAGACCACAGAGTTCCACGCACTCTCGCTCCGCACGATAGACGCAATCAGGCTATCGAGCGAGAGAACTCCCACTCCGATGGCCGCCACGAGGTCTCGCCTCTGCTCAAACCACGCCGGGCACTCCGCCAACGTGTGGAGAGCCGTGTCCACGGTCTGGCCATCGCAGTGGTGGCGCTCAGGCGTTGGCTTCTTGCGCATCAGACACAGGTGATCCCCGAAACATCCTTTCCCAGTGATCACCTGCGTCAGTCGGTATGAGAGGGTCCCGTGACGTCTCTCGACCCAATCCTCCATAACGGGTCTTACCGCCGCAATGACGGCGTGCCAGGCGCTCGGTTGCCCGAGTCGTTCCCTCCACTCCCCTATGATGACCTGGCATAGTTGGGATTTCCGGTCATCGATTTCTCGAACCTCGGGACATCGACCCAACTCCCGCGCCTCCTTGCGCCACTGATACAGAGCCGCAAGGGCTCTCGCCTCCAGGTCCCACGGTGGAGTTCCGGCCAGGAGACTTGCCGCCTCAAAGGATCGTGCGGTACCCCCTTATGATCCTGATGGCCAGTACTCGCTGCGGTCGTCGCAGTATCGCGACGTTGCTGGCCCTCAGGGCCCCGGCACATACTGGGCACCCGTAAAGGGCCATGGACCGCACAACCCCCGAGTAGAGTCTCCTGCAGGAGTCATCGGGTCCCTTCATGTTGGGCAATAGCCGCGCCAATGCACGCGCTACCCCAACCAACTTGGGGACCAGACCTCGGAAATGATAACCGAAGTCCCATCGGTCCGCATGTACACCTATCGACTAATCCATTTATCCACAATCCAATTCGCATTCTGTGTTTACTCATCAAATACGCTACTGATAAAGCCACCAGTGTATTTCGACTTTTATTTTAAATACACATGGATGTCATTATATAAAGCGGTATTTTAACGTAGATTCTTTTATATCACAAAAGAACGCACTGCGTTTGTTACGCGACCAATAATGTCGATACTAGTCACTCAATTTCAGAGGAATTACAGTATGTGTCGTACCTTTTCTCAGTAGAAGTTGGGAAGTGGCGCGGTACACCCATCGTTATCCAAGTTCACAACACAACTGAGCCAGTGAGCCTCTCCCGGCTACACATAACGGTGTGCAAAAAATTAAGACACATTTTTCCTCAATCAGGAAGGCTCATTTCGTTTATAGGAAGCCCACATCATTTGATGATATATCGTTCATCAACTCTTGCTCTCACTCTTTCTAAAGATGAACTTATAACAAGCTTACTACTTCTTTTTCATATCCGTTCATCCGTCCGTTATGTTATGTTGTTCCCCTTAGGGGTTAATTGCCAAATACCCTTGCTTTGTGGTCCTTAAAACATAAAAAGCATCAGCTGCCAAAGTTTCAGCATTTTCTGCTGAGAATCAGGCTAATCAGGCAGTCAGAGCAAATAATTTATATGTATAAATAAAAACTTATGTAGACATCCTAAGTTAGTAAGTCCTAAGGAATTCTGGAGTTTCTTGCGCAAGCTAAGGAGGTAAAATAGTTTTCTTGTAAAAATGATTGCACTAAAATCTACTCGGACTCCAGCAGACCCCGACGGAGGAATTTGTTGACGCTTATACATATGTACTCGTAAATATTTTTATTTCATTTACATTACGTCTATATTAAAAAATTCTAACACGTAGTTTCTAATTGCTCAGTTGTGCTGTAAGGATGGGTGTCGAGAGAGACATTAAAAGATGTTGTTATGACAACGATCAGATTTATTCTCCCTCAAATATAATAATCATCACTACTTATATCCTAAGGTAGATATACGTATTATATATGCATTACTACACTACAACTCCCTTCTTTTAAAAAAATAAATAATACACGATACTTATTTTATTATACAATTTCCTTAAATTTAAAAGCATACAATATTAATGGGAAGTAAATTTACAATTAAAGGTTAAAATCATTAGGTAAATATGACAAACTTAAGTTCTATACAATTTTGTTCTATTTTTGTAAACTATTTCAATTTTATAAACTCTAATACTATCCTCATTGTTAGTTCATAGCTAATTTAATGAAATCAAACAATCACATCTAAATTAAATGCATACATCACATACATTTAACTTTTTTTTTTTCAATTCAAGTCAGATCATATAATCCGCCCCGCGTCGCTCCCGGTGCAAATTTGCACATGATACTGGCAGCATTGCCTCTCTGAATTGCAAGGGACCAGAAACGAGCTGGAGCGCCGCCGCCGCCGGAACTTGGACGGTGCGACTTAGATGTGAGGCCGCGACTGTGCTAACGCATGTAGCGTCCCATACCAAGCACTTGCCGTTTTTCCACGGCACCAAAGTCAGGCCATCCGGCCGCTTCCCGTCAGATCTGCTAAGACCCGATGGCTCCAACACGCAGGGTACATTGGCGGATATAAGCGCTCTTCGGACTATGACATTTAGGGCATCTAATCTACCTGCGCAGCGACGACAACTCAATGCGTGAAGATCATCGGCCCCTACCATGGCATCGCAGGTGCATCTATGTGTTTCGCACACCCTGCAGCCCAGGCCACTGCCACACGCAAAGAGTCGCCGTCTGGCAAGGTGCCCAAGTGAGGTGATGGGAGTGCATGTAATCATGCCCCTGATTCTGACTGCGATACGGCCCTCAGTCTCGCCAGATCGGTACCCCTAGCAGTATCCAACATTTGTATAAGAAGACCCTTAGCTCCAACGTCATCCCATGCTCGCTGGACGTGTAGGGTTACTGGAAATGGCTCACCTGCGTTAACGGCCGACCATGCCGATACCGCCTCGGACACATAAGGTATGCTCGCCCTATCACCATTTGGAGAAAGTGTGACAGCGACAAGGTCCGCCACCCCATGCGCCGACGCTAGGAAGGCCGGCATGCCAACATCCAGCACACGCCGTAATCCGAGACCCCCGTATCTTATTGGCAGAGCTGCCTGGATCCACTGGTGCTCATCAAGGGAGACGTTAAGGATCGACTCAGCAGTATCTCTTAAAGCACCGTCGAACAAAGAGACAGCCTCCGGACAAAGCCAGGTTGGAGTAGTCCACAATAAGTACGTGATTTTAGGAACCGCGAAACACATACGAAGCAGCAGAACCGCAACATGAGGAGAAAGATGCTTTAAACGTTCCCGAGTGGCAAGGAGAAGATTTTGACGGGCAGCAACGGCCTCAGGAACTGCCTCAAGGAAAATGGGAGAGCCCAATAGAGTGAAGGTACTTGGTGTGATCTCTAATTATTTTTACAGTAGGTGATACATCTTCTAAAACCTAAGAGGACCAATATAAACATTCTGAAATTTATTGCAATTTTCATTGCGTAATACAATTAAATCATTAGGTTCGTGAACAGTTGGATTAATTTGCTTATCGTTATTACGTTTTCGGGCTACTTTTGACGATAACAATTTTTTCCCAGCTTGTACCTGAGATTTTTGCAGTAGATATTTCAAGGTTAATGGACAATCAACTTGTTGAGACAAATTTGTAGGTAATTTACACAGTTTTCCAAACACCAATTCGTATGGAGTAAATTTTTTAAATGTGTGCACAGTAGTATTGCAACTAAAAGACCAATAGGGAAGCCAAGTGCTCCACTCTCTAGAACTATTTTTAGTCTGTATCCGAAGATAAGCATTTAAATTTTTATGTGTATACTAAAGCGCACCTATATAGATATAGTTTCATGATGGTAAGCGATTGAAAATAATTGTTTAACACCAAGTAATTGACAAACCTTACTCATTGTTGACGCTATGAACTCTGAACCTTTGTCTGTCGCAATTTCTCGCGGTATACCATACCTGTACCTGAGAATGAAGATTTCTACGAAAGATTTTGCTACGGTGACAGCGTCCTTACGGTCTAAAGGATATGCTTCTACGAACTTAGTGAGTTCGCACTGAATAGTTAAAATATATACCTTACCATAATAATCCTTATCTAGGGGACTAAGGCATGACGCACCGTGAGACAATCCTAAGTTCCACGGCCGGGATTGCCCAAGTCGTTGAGCGAATCCGGCGGCTGGATCTCGAGGTGGCTCTGCACAAATCCGAGGCCTTGTTCTTCCATGGGCTTCGGAGGAAGCCACCTGAGGGATCTAGCCTCGATTAGGTATCTGGGCTCGTACTCCATGGCCGATGGGACTTCGGACATCATTTCCGAGGTCTGGTCCCAAAGCTGGTTGGGGCAGCGCGTGCATTGGCGCGGCTGCTGCTCAACATGAAGGGACCCGATGACTCCTGCAGGTGACTCTACTCGGGGGTTGTGCGGTCCATGGCCCTTTATGGGGCCCCGTATGGGCCGGGGCCCTGAAGGCCCGGCAACGTCGCACTACTGCGATGACCGCAGCGAGTGCTGGCCATCAGGATCATAAGGGGGTACAGCACGATCTCCTTTGAGGCGGCAAGTCTCCTGGCCCTAACTCCACCGTGGGACCTGGAGGCGACAGCCCTTGCGGCTCTGTATCAGTGACGCAAGGAGGCGCGGGAGTTGTAAGACCCGTTATGGAGGATTGGCTCGAGAGACATCATGGGACCCTCTCATACCGACTTACGCAGGTGAACACAGGGAAACGATGTTTCGGGGATCACATGTGTCTGATCCGCAAGGAGCCAACGCCTGAGTGCCACCACTGCGATGATCGGACCGTGGACACGGCGCTCCACACGCTGGCAGAATGCACGGCGTGGGTGGAGCAGAGACGAAACCTCGTGGCGGCCATCGGAGTGGAAGCTCTCTCGCTCGATAACCTGATTGCGGCTATCGTGCGAAGCGAGAGTGCGTGGAACTCTGCCGTCTCCTTCTGCGAGCAAGTTATGCTTGCAAAGGAGGTGGCGGAGCGGGACCGGGAGTGGTTTAGAACTCTCCGGGCCCGCCAGGCTCGGGAACGGGCCAGGTACCGCAGACGACTCAGGCGCCGGAGGTCGCATAACGACCTCCGTCCTCCATAAGCTCAGGCTCGGGGGTGACAGGTGAGGCCATCTGTCACCCTAGCAGAAGCAGGCCGGGGTGGCGGCGAGCGCGTTGCAAAGCGCGCACGCCCCTCCGGGAGCACAGAGGGAACATGGGGGTTCCCACACAGGGGGGGTCGTCCACCCACCGTAGATGGCCCGAGGTACGTCGGTCGGGGCATCTACGGATTTCCTTTCTAGGGTACACCTGGTTCCCCGACTACTGGTACCTGAGACGGCGTGCGGTTTTAGTCGGTAACTGGTATCCGAGCATAAGGTACAAAATCAGTAACGTCACGTTCCATTCCAGGCCACAAATAAGATTTATTGATGTTATTTAACATTCTTCTTATTCCCGCACGACCACTAGTTGGTAGGATGTGATAGACATTAATGATTACTTTTTTGACATCATTTATTTATTTCTCTTGACAACCAATCTACAAAACTCATTACAACTTGCAAGTTTTATAATAAAGAGATTTTTTATATTCATTCCTTTAGAATATTGCTCCAGTTCACTCACATATGCGTCTCGCGCGAAACATGATCGGAAGTCTGAACAAGTATACAATCTCATTTCACTTTTATTATATAAAAATCTATCAGGACTATTTAATTCCCTATTCATAATATTCATTTTTCTCCGAGAAACTAATAATAATTCAACAGAATTTCCACAACTTTTGGTTGATCGGGCCAAATGTTAGCGGTTAAGCTAGGCAAAGTCTGCAAATTAAGGTGAATTACTTGCTGACCTTCCAGTTTCTTTCGTTGATTTCTTGTCATAACATTAATTATCTATTCACTCATTTCTTTTAACTCTTCTGATGTAACTCGCATCCTAGATAATGTGTCTACAGCAACATTATCTTTACCTTTTATACATATACTCAATCACAAAATCATACTCTTCCAAAACTAAACGAAATTTCGTCAATCGACTTGAAGGATTGTTCATATTAAATAAATGTATTAAAGGGCGATGATCTAAGAAAATTTTAAACCTTTTCCCAAACAAATAAGGTCGGCAATATTTAATAGACCAAACAATAGCTAGCATTTCTTTTTCTATGATTGGATAG